CCATTACTAGCCTCCCGGGTGACTCCGCTTATAAATAGGGTCTCAAAGCCAAAGGTACACGACACACACACTTGAGCTCTACACTTTTCTCTCTCGTTGTAATCTCGACTTTCCCAACCACCCTCGACTAGTTTAACCGTCAGAGTATTCACCCTTGGGAAATTTCTCGGGGCCTCTGATGTCTTTTTACTCTTACCAGGTGAAACAACACAACTCAATCAATGTAGCTCATCCATCATAGAAGCCCTCCCAAATAGAGACTCTAACTGCCGATTTGAGTTCTTCAAACTTTTCAATCTATCTTTGTAGGGCTCACCTCATAGGCCAAAAGGTTATTGTGCTTCAACCTCCCAAACGAGCACTCCGGAACAACTCGATGAAAATACTTCAACCTTCTAGCCTCCTTAATGGTCATAAAAGAAGCTTTATTATAAAGCTTCATGTTTTCGGTTAAAAGACAATTAACTATGGGTAAATTGCTAAAACCTCTCCTGAAGTTTTTGGCTATTGTTAAAACCTCCCTAAAATTTGGTAATTGCAATCACCTCCCCTGGACTATCTAGCATAGTTGCAAGTAGACCCCATCAATTAAAATCCTTTAATAAGAGGCACAAAAATGTTTAAAAATACCCAAGCAATTGCCTTTCACCAACATATTTTCCAAAATTTCTCTTTGGCTCATTTTGGAAGGAGTACAAATACAAATATGTAGAGTGCAGAACCTTGTATTTTGTACTATTTTGCATGTATTTTCAAAACCTTGTATTTTTTACTATTTTACTTGTATTTGCATTATACATATTTGTATTTGTACTCTTTCCAAACTAAGCCTTCATATCAATCACTACCCCAAACCCTTCCAATCTTTTATCTAAAATTGACTTATTTTCCAAATTTTCCCTTCCTATCAATTGCTCAAAAATAAAGCTGCAACTTTAAACTCTCTTTTTTTGTTGTTCATACAATTTCTATTATATTTTCTCTAGAAACTAGCCTCAATAATAATTATACAGCTATTTTGGACACTTTCACACGCCTCTTGTTAAAGGATTATAGTAAATGGGATTTACTTGCAATTGTATCAGAAAATTCAAGGGAGGTGATTGCCATTACCAAGCTTTAGAGGAGATTTCAACAATTCCTTTTAGGTCTTTTAGAAATAAACCACTTTTTCCAATGTAATTTTGGCACTACAATAAAACCACGAAATCAAAGCCTTCGATGTAGGGTAAGCCTTAAAACATTTGGACTGCACATTTCATTTGATTAATTTGTAATTAAATAAGCATTTTATCTAGAAGAATAGGACCCAGACCAATGTCACCTCTTCAAAGCCTTTATTTTTAGATTTTTTTTGGTATTTAAGAAATTAAATTAGGTTTAATTTGCTAATAAAGCATATGAACTTTCTAATTTAAATTATAGAAAACACCATGATGTTTTAAGTTAGAGTAGGACCATGCCACTTAGGTGGTTGAACCGCTGAGTGGCATTAATGTTTTAAGTTAAAGTTTCATTTTTTAATGTGTATATTAATTTTGAAGAAATTTGTACATTAAGCAATGATCAAAGACATCAATGATTTTTCAATAACTTTTATGTAGCATGGTTTTCAAAACTGAACCGGAGTGGATGGTTGGACTAGAAAACCCGAGAATTGGTCACTTCCATTTTACCCCAAAATCGCTTTTTAATCAAAAACCTTTAATTTGATCAGCGAACCGCTAACTCAGGTGATTGAACCATTGAACCGAATAATGGTTTTGGCCTTTTTTATTTTTTAAGTCAGAGTGGGCCATCCATTCAAACCAAACTGTTGGACCGTTCAACCCAGGAACCAATCCCTAGAATGGTCCCCTGTCTGGTCCAGTTTGAAAAACCTTGTTATGTAGTGTAAGATATTTGTTTTAGACTTTTCTACTCGTATTTTGTACAGTTTTATTCAAAAAAATTGTAAGATTTTGAAAGGATTTTGAATTAAAATGTAAGCAGCTCAGGATTTCAATTTAGGTTTGGCTCAACCTAAACTCAACCCAAAGACAAGGGAACATGGGATCTGTGATCTAGAGAGTTTTCAAAGTGCAACGGATTCTAGTCACCCACAGACCACGACCCATACAGAATAAGGAGAAGAAATAGAGAGAGATCTTATCGGGTCATATGTCACTAGCAACAGTAGAAAGTTCTCAAACAACCTATAAGTGATGCTTGGTTTGTGGTTTCCAAAGAGTGACATGATTTTTTTTTTTGAAAATGATAATGATTTTTTAACCAAACAAAGCAAAAGAGCACGTTGCCCTGTTCTATTTGTTGTTCATTTTTTAACTACGATATATGAGTATTGATTGTGCAACCCGTGTGTATTATTATTTAGTTTTCAGGCTCTCTTGGTGCCTTTGTAAGGTTTCAGGGAAAGTTGATCAATGAAAAAGTTGACCAATTCTCCCATATTCTCTTATTGGTAAATGTAAGACCTGGGTAAAATAACTCTCTCGGTAGGTTTTTGGGTGATCAATTGGCTGTCCACAGAATACACCTCATACATGCCCCACAATACATCCCAACCATATAATGAGAACATCTACGGGAGATGTTTCCAATACATGCTTAAATGTGTTGTGGGGCATTTGTGAGATGCATTCTGTAGGGAGCCAATTAGGACTAATTTTTGGCAATTTATTCAGGAATGCCTTACCATTCTCTTATGTGGATAAATTACTCTTCCACCTAGAGGAAAAGATGCTAAAATTTAATAAGACAAAAATACCCATTAATACATGCACTAAAAACAAAAAAAATAAAAGAATAAAAATGAAAATAAAAAAATATATATAAGGGATTTTTACTATTTAATCCACCCCAACAAATTTCATTGTACAGTTGGGGTACGTGCCAGCTCAGAATTGATGACAATGCATGGGCGAGTATTGGTGTTATAGGGGGAGGTATTTAAAATTTTGAATTTTGGAGTCCAGAATTCTGAGGGGGGAGTGTAGTTAGTTATCCCAAAAATATATTAGAATACAAAAGAACATAGTTAAATGCATACCAGGGCAAGGTTTTTAAAATCGACCTGAACAACAAACTGGTCAGGGGTCCGGTTCTCGAGTCGAACAATCTGACCATTTGAACCGATCAACCCATTTTGACAAAAAATAAAAAAAATAAAAAAAGGTCAAAATTGTTGAACAGTCCAAACGATTCAAATGGTTTGAATGGTTCAACTGCCCGGGTCAGTGGTTTGTTGACCAAATCAACGTTTTTGGCAAAAATCCGATTTTGGAGAAAAACGAAACCAGTCACCTAATCAGTTCTCGGTTTTTCCGATCCGGTCCTGTTTTGAAAACCATGTACCAAGTAGGCGATCTACCTGAAAACAAATGGGGCCTCATTGCATGGTTATTATTGATGAGAGTCACATGTGACCATATAAATACTGTCATGTAATGTTTACATCAGCAAACCATGTTGGTAGTAAGAACTGCAAAACCTATCCTAGTCATAGCTGGTTCCAACTTCCAACCCAACATGCGATTTTAAACTTAGGTCTCGTTTGTTTTTTGATACCTAGGCAAATGGTTTCCGAGAAAAAATTGGCGAGGTAACTTTAAGGGGGCATTCTTTTTTTTGGATTTTGAGAGGGGGGAAAGTTGGTCAATGGGATTTTGGCCCCCCATTGACAAAAAATTCCATGTTCCTTTTTCAGATTTATGTGGAGAATAGGGAAAGTTTATTTCCTGGGTATCACTTACCCTTCTAGGTGGGTAAATAACTTTCCCACCTAAGTGAAAGTTGCCAATACTTGAATGAGGCAAAAATGCCCTTTTTAATAATGGATTTTTATGGCTAAAATGGTCATTGCTTTATTTACATGAGAAATAAAAGAACATGGATAAATGCGCTTATCCGGGTAAATGTTTCCCAGGAAAAACTTACCTACATAAATGCATTTACCTGGGTCAATAACTTACCAAAAAGCGAACGGGGCCTAAAAGAAAGTGTTCTTATGCACTATCACTTACTCAGATAATGTGCGATGCAAGAACTTGGGCAAGCAATTTACCCATTCTTGGAAAAAAATTCGTTTTCCATGGAACCCATAATAGTGAGTTCCATAATAGTGATGCAAGAACTTGGGTAAGTTGGTCAATTATTTGGTTCTACCGCGTACGCCCACAAAATAGCGGTAAACAAATAAGGTCTTAATAACTGCTATATTTACATATTTTTCAAATACCACCGCCACTTGTTATAGAATTTTAGTAAAAATTTCTTTTTTATTTTGAAAAGCAAAATAAATATTTCATTGCTAATGTCTGTCAAACGTTTAATAAATATTTAAATATTTACTGATTTTTCAAATATTTCCTTTTTTTTCCCTTTAATAATTTGAACTGCAAATACTCAGCCACAATCGACTCCACAACGAGTTCATTGGCGCTTGCATGAATACTGACATAGCTTGTGCAACCCATGGAGGTATAACCATTGCTTCCTCTATCTTCTTTTTTTTTTTTTTTGGCTCCAAAGGGGCTACACAACCGGGGGAGGGGGAGGGGGGTAATTGCTTCCGCAATCAACAAAAGCTCACAGCTTGTCCAAGACCTGGAGGTAAATCTATTGCTATGCTACTGGTGAATCAAAAACAAGGAACAGCCAAAAATAGAACAGAGATGAGGAAAAAGAGGAGGAAAGAATAATTTTGTTCTACCATTCTGCTCCATCTTGGGCCACATCAATGAACCAGGCCTAATGAAGAAGAGACCATTTAAGATAGGGGCTACGAGAACATGACTCATAGGCATTCTGAGAATGAGATCGGATTTCATCCTCACACAGCACTGCAAATGTTGAGTATGGTGTGACGACATGAATTAGATGGCTTTTATGTATGTATGTATGTGTAGAAAAGTATGTATAACAGTTCAAAAAAAAAAATGGATGCTAGTTTAGTTGACAATAAACCGATAGGCAATGGCAATATTAAGAACCTAGCAAAATTCGTAAGAAAGATATCTCCCATCCTCCCATTTCCACTATTGAACAGTTCATTGCGTCTTACAGAAGCTCAACATGAATATGATAAAGTACATTCCTTGATGATAGTAAAAAAAAAATAAATAAATAAATAAACACGTGGCTCCAAACCCAGTGTTTGCAGCAACAAGCATGACAATTCACTCAAATTCATTATTCTTAGAAATGATGTTTTGGCAGGACACTGTCAGCATTCAGATTGACGTGTGGAGATGGTACTATTGGAATCTTATTCTTTCAGTTTCACCACTGATCATATGATTCTTAAGTCTTAACTACCACTGGCCTTTGTAGCTCCAGCACTGCTTGTGGTCATAAAGGACTCACCACAGCCGCATTGTCCTTTCGAGTTTGGATTAATAAATATAAATTCAGACCTGGAATAGAAATCAATACAAAAAAGAGAATTATGAATGCAGACTATGCAGTAATTCAGGAAATAGCATTATTGAGTACAAGAGTAAGGAAACAAAGTATAGACAACCCAAAAAAAGCTTCCCCAGACCCTCTGGCTATTAGTCATCCCTGGGTATGCAACAGATCAAGGTCATAATCCATATCAATGACAAGATTCAAAAGTTGCAAGATGATCAAGTAGCTTCCTACTTGTGCCTACCTGAGGTTGTCATCTGTTATTACATGAGCAAACAATGCAAGTTTTCAAGTATATTTATATGCAAGAACAAATACTTAGGTGCCAGCTGTTATTGTGCCTACCTGAGGTTGTCATCTACAAAATCCATTTTAGTTCCTATTACATGCATCAGTGCCTTTGGATCAATTAGAATCTTGGCACCCTTGTCCTCAACCAATTCATCAAACTTGCCCTTCTCATCTGCAAAAAGGCAGTGGACATTAAAAAAAATCTGCAATAAACCGTTTCTCATAAAGTAGTTGAAATAGGGATATCTTTACAGGGTTGAGTCAAAGATCAAAATTTCTTTTGCTTTTTAAGTTGATTTTTTATTAGTTTAAATTTTAGTATATTCATAATGTGTAACATGTATAGGGCTTTTAAGTCTTTTTGTTTTATGAATAAGATCAATAGATTTTATTCTTGAGAAAGAGAGATACAAAAATGTAGAAAATAGATAGCCTGACATAGCAAGCCAAACCCAACAAAAAAAACTTTTTTTAACTTTACACTAAGATCTCTTCTAATAGGCAGCTTAACATCATCATCACTTTAAGTAGTGCTCAAGCAAGGATCCCAGCTAGCTTACTTCCTATACTCTCAAGGGAGTCAAACCCCAGACCTGGGGTCAAACCTTTATCATTCTTACTACTAGCCGTTAAACCATACAAAAAGTAGTACTCAAGCTATATGTTGTTCTTTAGCATGATTAAATTCTAATATGAATTTCCGAGCATGCCATTTACACTTCCAATGATGCAAATGAAACACAATATCTTTGAACTAAAGATGCGGTATCTTCTGTTATCAACGCTTCTACAGAACCTTAAATTTTCATAGGTGAAGATTGTTAGGTGCCATCATGAAAAGGAAAGGGGATCCTGTGAATTAGATTGATTGCATCATGACAGTGGAGGAATTCAACACCTAAATTTTGACATGGAGTAATAAACAATTGAGTTTGGCTAGAATAGTGGCTAAACTCAATAGAGTTATGGTTAGCCCTGATTTGTTATCATCATTTACTGATTCTGAATCCATATTTTTCAATTTTCAATAAAGGTATTTCTAACCATTGTCCTGCACTCCTGCTATCAACACAATAGGAAGAGAAGGATTCAGTTGAAAGTTTTTGGAGGTTCTTATGGGAAGATCATGAAGGCTTTCTTGGAATTATTCAAAAATCCAGGGATAAAAAGGTTTGAGGCTTCGAGCTGAGGTAGGCAGCGGTAATGTAAAAACAATGGTGAATTAACAAAACACTTAAAAGTGGATGGGCAAAATAAGGAACTTGACGGAAGTGCTCAGGAAGCTAAAGTTATATATTCAAGGGTCTTACTTGAAGAATCTAGTTCTCAAGATTAGTCTAAGTTCAATGGCTTGGCTTCTGTTAGGAGATTCAAGTTCTTTCTCACATATACCATTGCACACCTGACACAACTTCAACAGAATCAATGTGATGGGTTGAAGGTGATGGTTCCTTAACAAGAGATCCAAGTAGAATTAAAAGGCTGGATGTTCATCATTTTTGGCATCTTCATGCCCCTGATACTAAACGAGATCAAAACCTAGAAGCCCAGGTACACAAAAATTGATTTTGCAAAGCAAATATATTAAGATAATAATAGCTTTCTTTCTTTAGAAGAATAATAGCTTTTTTAGGTCTGTTATCTCAGATGAGAGATCATCAATGCTATTTTTCAATACAAACCTAGAAGGTTCCATGGCCTGACAGATTTAGCATCCACTTCTTTTAAAGTTGAATAGGGCAATGTACAAGAAGATACAGTTCATGCCATTAGAAGTCCCCATACTTAAGGTTACTTACTGAAGTCAATTCTAAATTTATTGTGCCAATCCCAAGGAAGGATGGCCACCAATCCTTTGGTGAATGATGACTACAGGTTAATAGCACTTAGCAATCTGGTAATTAGATTCATCACAAAAGCTATAGCTAATAGCTTGAAAAATGCAGTGGGAAAAACTGTTAGTTTAATCACAGCATATGTGCCTATGGTAAAAGCATCAGTGAGACTGATGATATTTAGTTCACCATGAGGTGATTGAGGCTTGAGAGCAAATGATTCTCTGTGGATATTTTGAACTTGACATCCACAAGGTTTATGACACATTTAGATAGGACCATGGGAGCTTGCTGAGGTATTATGTAGGCCGTTTTCTCCTTTTAAGTTCATCAAATGGATATGAATGTATCTCTTCTCCAAGGTTTTTTTCTTCACAATTGAAGTCCAGCAGGATTTTTTGAAGCACTAGAGGATGACTGAATGTTGCCCTACTTTTTTTTTTATCATTCCTACTTTTTTTTTTGGTGGTAGTCACCCTACTTCTTCAGTATATCCAGGCCATTTCTGGCTTACTGCTATAATTGATAAGGTGGTTCAGGTGGGGACTTCACAGCCAAGTCCTAAGTGCAAATCAGTAAAACTGACCCATGAAACTCTTACCCAGTGTTTAGGAAACCGGACTGGACCAGATCGGCCGGTTGAACCATGACCCGAGGCCCTAACAGGTTTAACCGGAAAACCAGTGAACTGATCCCGGTTTCATGAAACCACCCGAGTCCATACATAAATGAAATTTTAAAATGTTGTTAACAAGATTTGAACCCAAGACCTCTTATTTTCATAGATTACTTAATTACCACTAATCCACCTCTTTATTTATACTAAATAATGACTCTTTATTGTACATATTACATTATTATGCACATATTTTAAAGAAAATGTAAATTAAAAGGCTTGAACCCTAGTCATTTGTTTTAAAAATTAAGAAGCTTGCCATCCATCCACCATATTTAAGTATATTAAAAGTTGTAAAACATATTATATATATTATTTATATGACCCATAGTATATATATGTATGTGCCACATCATCACGGTTTGACCTTCAATTCGACCCCGGTCGAACCTCTGACCCGTGAACCTCTCCCTTCTCCGGTTCTAATGCCCAATCCGGTTCTCTGAACATTGCTCTTACCAATGATTTGAAGATCTTCTTGAAAGCTGATAAATATTCGTTTGCTTCTTATGCCTCAACATTGAATAAATTCTCTAATAATTCAGGGTTATCTACTAATAAATCCATATTTGTAAGTGTTGAAACTTGATATATCTTCCTTTTGTGAAGTAATGAGGTTTTAAGAGAGGAAGTTACCTATCAAGTATTTTCAAGTACCCCCTCCAAGCCTCTAGGGCCTAGGCTATAGTGCTCTGATTGTGCTCCAATATTGGATCTAATGAGGAAGTCATCCGACTGCAAAGCTAAAAGTCTCTCATATGCCAGTGAGCTCACCCTTATCAGATTGGTGCTCCAAGGTTCATATGTGTATTGATCAGGTTGTTTGACTTTTTTCAGCCTTCCGAGTTCAGTTTAAAGGAAATTGAGTTTAGGAGTGCAAATGGATCGGATCATGATCCAATCCAAGATCTAATCCTATTTGGTCGAATTCGGTTCACCCCTGTTCGGATCTTCAGATCAGATAATAGGATCCGATCAGACATTGGATCGGATTTGGATCGCCCCTATCCGATCCGATATATATTATATACTTATAAATATAAATATATATAATACATATATATGTTATTTATTTATTTATAAATATATTTTTATAAATTTGTTATATTATTCACTTTTTATAAAAAACATGTATATATATGATGAAAATAATTAAAAAATACTTGTATTTTTTTGTTTTACTGTATTTAAATTAGTATATTTTATTTTTCTTTTAATAATTTTATTAATTTTTAGAAAATAAGTCGAATCGGATCAGATCCGAAGATCCGACTTACCAATAGGATTCAAATTCAAATCGAGTCATATTAGATCCAATCGGATCCGAAGTGAACAGCGTCAGATCGGATTCGAATCCGATCTGATCCGTTTGCATCCCTAATTGAGTTTATCATGGCTTGGTTTTTATGGGATGATCCAGAACTATCAAAGGAACTTCTATAATCATTGTTGTTTGCCTCTATGTGAATGGGGGTCATGCAGGTTGAAAAAATGAATATTGTTGGAACATGAAACTGACCTGCTTGATATTTGGGTGCAGGTGGACCTCTCTGGGGGATGTAACTAGTCTTTTTTTGACTCTTTATTACCCTTATGGTTCACAACTTTGATATTAGTGGATATTTCACCATGTAGATATGGAGAAATTCCCTACATATTTTACTAAATTCGCTAAGATATTTGGAAAATCTAAAATATCAGGAAAGTTTTCTAGAAACATGGAATTAGTTGATAGACCTTTCAAGAACCATTAGAAGAAATATAATTGCACATTAAGACTCAAAAAACTATACCAAAGAATCGTACGAGCCAAATAGGAAAAAATTAAGAGACTTTAATGGGCATCTTTTCTCTTTATCTCCCTTTCAGTCTTTTAGCCATCTTCTCCTTATGAAATATGCCAATTACTTGCCATTTCGACTTTCGCTTCTTTTTTTTTTATTGTTATATGTTTTGATTAGTTTAAGAATACTCTTTTGTAGCTATATACATTTTCTTTCTTTCTTTCTTTCTTTTTTTTTTCTTGAATTATAGTGACTAAGTGAATCATATCAAAATAGTAAGCCTATTATCCAATCACCAATTTCCAATTGGTTCTTTCAGGAAAATGTTTTTTAAAAAATTATGATGATTTTAATGAAATAATGAAATTAATAATATTCTAAAATTTTAAACCTTAAATATATAGCCTATCAATGAAATCTGAAATATCACCAACATATTGGAAAATATCAGAGATATTTGGGAAATAAAGATTCGTGGAAAGTTTTGTATTGCTACCTAGAAAAATGGAGATATTTCAGGGAAATTTCACCAAATATCATCAATATTATGAACCATGCTCACCTATGAAAAGGAAGGGGGAGGTTTTGTAGAGGTGCATAAGGACTGCCCTTTTATGGACAGTTTGGGAGGAAAGGAACACCAGAATGTTCAAAGACAAAGTCCAAACCAGAGAAGCCATGAGATACTCTCCCCCTTTCTCCTTGATAATCAAGGCTGACAGAGTGGTAGATCTTCTGCAAGTACATATATCTTTCCATGTGGCTGCCGTCAGCACTTTATTTCATTAAGTTAAACTTAGATGGCTATAATTTAGGCAGTCCAGACCAATCAGGTATAAGAGGAACTAAGGAACATTCAGAAAAACCAAGGAAACACAATAGCTATTTTTCAGGGCCCATTGGTCTTAGAACTCTATGAGAGATGAACTGTTGACCATATTGCAGGGGTTGTGATTAGCAAAATAGTCTTGTTTATGGTGGAAAGGCACTCAAGTGAAGTTGTGGGCTGGCTCAAATAAAATCTGTGGTTCTTGGAGATACAGACATACAGTGAGAGAAACTCTACAGTTGGCCAGGGAATCGCAGACAATATTCATATGGACCCAAAGATAAGTGAACAGTATAATATTAGCTAGGTAAGTGGTGAATAGAAAAGAAATGTATTGGGGAGCCATCCCCATGAAGGTTATATTGTAAGTTAAACGTATGATATTGGGGTTAGGTAGCTAGAAGCCTAGGAGTAGCCTATTTTCAAAAGGAGGTGCTTAGCATATATCGTAAAAAGAATACTTCCGGTTGATTGCAAGCAAGAAGGAGAATCTTTGGGTTGCATGAATTTGCAGATTATATTAGGGGGGCGTTCTTTTTTTGGATTTTGAGAGGGGGGAAAGTTGGTCAATGGGATTTTGGCTCCCATGAAACAAGAATCCAATGTTCTTTTTTCAGATTTATGTGGGGATCAGGGAAAGTTTATTCTCTTGGGATACCCAACTCCTAGGTGGGTAAATAACTTTCCCACCTAGGGGGGAAGTTGCCAATACTTGAATGGGACAAAAATGCCCCTTTTAATAATGGATTTTTTATGGTTAAAATGGTCATTGCCTTATTTACATGAAAAATAAAAGAACATGGGTAAATGCACTTACCCGGGTAAGTGTTTTCTAGGAAAAACTTACCTATGTAACTAACTTCATTTACCTAGGTAAGTAACTTACCAAAAAGAAAATGGGCCTAGATACATACAGAATGACTATTTGGATTATTAAGCCTCCTGCTATTGCTCATATGTTGGAAAAGACCATCAAGTACAGTTCAAAGGTTAAACCTCATATGAAATCATTCATTAGCAATAGTGAATTAGCCATGTTATGACTGGACAAATAGCATCCATTAGTTCTAATCTTCTTCTCAACAAGTTTGGAGATAGAAAAGGTATGATGCAAGATCAAATCAACCATACAATGTCAACTCTTTGTTTTGTTATCAAAGGTAGGACCCGGTAGAATTGTATGTTCTTATCTGGTTGAGGGTTGGAATATGTTGAATTAGGTCAGCCACTCAGCCTAAGAGAATCAAATGACGGTAATCTAATTTCTTGGATGGGAATTCAAACATTTTTTTCCATTAAATTGACAGCAACCATATGGAAAATCAATATTTCATTGAAATATGGAATACCCAAGATTGAATTAACACAGATAGATCGAACTAAGGGAGGAGAGGTTCGAACGAACCGGCGTAATTGAGAGTGTAGGACAAGCCGTTGCAACCTCGAGCCTTGACACCAAGCCTGAGGAACTGGCGCTGCCGCTTTTCTAGCAGGTGGCGTATTCTAGCAGCTGCCGAATCTGTTAGCGTAAGCGCTTGCCGTCGTAGAGCCGGACCGACCTTCTCCGCCGCGGCCGCGAGGAAAGAAGCCATGTTCCTCTTCTCTCCTCCCAAATGTTCGGGTTTTTCGTCAAGTTTCTGGGATAAAACCGTGGCTCAGCCAGATCGAATTTGATGCGGTAGCCGCCACATGGAGAAAGCTGTAATCTCCAATCAGGAGACTCAAAAAGGCATCTTTAAGAAAACGTGTGTCGAGCACGAATTACCTCGGCACTCTGACTCTCTAGGTTGGTGCCATTACAAGTGGCTGTGACTCCTACCGAGTTCGGATTCCTCCCTACCACGGAATCGGGATTTGCTCCTCACTGAGCGCGCCCCACATTCACATCCCAGAGTTCATTGAGAACATCTCCCAATACACGGCTGGGATGGACTGTGGGGCACATGTGGGGCGCTGATGCATACTCCCCTAATGCCACTCTCGATGAATTGGGCGCTTCACAATGACTTTACATGCACATTCCACTGTGTATTGGGAATATCTCTCATAAATAAAACACAAGTATTGGAGATGTTTTCAATACACGGTGGGATGTGCCTATGAGGTTGGTGTGAGGCATCATATGTGAAGAGTAGATCCAGTCTGCTCGGAAGCTTGAACTGCGTGGGAGGACCACAACTTGGCAATGAATTTCTCAAATCATTCCATCATGATTGAAGACAACTCCTTGATCATGATTTCTTGTTTTAGAACATCATTAAAGAGTGTTTGGATTTGAAGAATCGAACAAACGAAAACTTAGTCTACAATCATGTTTATAAGGAAGTTAATCAAACGACTTGCCAATCAAGCCTTTTCGCCCCTATAGGGTACAGTAAATCTCAATCTTAATGAGAATGCATAAATACACTCATTCCGATTCATGAAATGCAATATGGGTTCACCTGTTTTGTATTCTTGTCGTTAGTTTCATTTGAGGCAAACACCTATACAAAATTGCTAGTGTCTGGTAGAATTATGTGAACAAACATTAAATGCACCAACTATGGATGACTTGGTGCGTTGAATGCCAAATATCTGAAATAAATTTATACAGGAACTACTGGAAAACAGATCTAAACCCTGCAAAAGACAAACATCATGGTTCTAGAACTAAAACACAGATGACTATAGATGGGTTGGGCAGACATCGGGTCCGAAATCCTCGGACCATGTTAACACACATCTACATAGCCGCCCCATCGAAGACCTCGCAAGGAAGTGAAGTCTTATGGAGACAAAGAGGTTCATCGTTGCCATGGAGGGCAGACACTCACCCCCCCCACCCCCCGAAAATCTCGATAGACGACCTCATCATGATAACCTTACGAAATTTCTATTTGATTATAACACAAACAATTGTCTATTTAAAAGCATATTTGTCTTGAGGTAAAGGACTTTTGATTCTTAACTCACTATTGCATCTGTAGCATCCTCCTAGTTTGAACCAATCTGCTCTTTTCAGTTCATCCTAACCAACCACTTATCTCCTTTAGGAACTTGAACATGGATGTGTCTTTCCGTGGAAAATCTCCTCAGACCTTTAATATCATTTTATGCTTGTAGGCCTTGATGCACAATTTCATCCTTTCACCCCCGGTCTTGTCGAATTGATAGGATTTATTTATTACATATTCGGCTTGACACATCTCGAATCTAACAACATGATCTCACACCGCCCATTTTGTATGAATTGCAATTTCTTACCAACAAAACCCGTTCTAAGACGCTCCAAACATTATTTGGCATGTTCATTATAAAATCATATATTTATTGAGAGCACTCACCTTTTGTATGAATTTTCATAAAAAGACAGAGACCTTAATCAGACAAACATCTCCCGAATATGTAAGAGGATGGGATGTTTCCCCATGGTTGGGAAATCCGGACTCTTCGTAATCTCGGATTCTCGGATGTCTGCATCGGTACCAGATCGAATCGACAAAATACAATTTGTTATTCCGGTGGACAGACATTCCAGTGCTATGATACCGCAAAGACATGATACAGAAAACTTCTAACAAATCAACCACTAATCATTAAATGGTAGCCAAATCTCATACCGTCAAATGGGTATCACCACCAAAATCTCCTTGATGCATCAAGAATGTCCAATACTCCAATGATACAGATTCTTAATTATCGTGGTCGAACATTTTTACGTTTTTCTACTCTTTTGTCTGACTTCAGCACTTCATTTCCCTCCATTTCAGATCTTCAACTCTCCCTGTCTCGACCATGACTTCAGAGACTCGATTCGCTCTCTTCGTGATTTTCGCAGCTCTCGCGACCTCCGCACGAATTGCAGGAGCTTCGCCGGAAGATCAGCGCTACAGTGTCGGAGATGTTGTTCCGTTGTTCGTCAACAAGATTGGTCCCTTGAATAATCCCAGGTACGTACTTCCGTCCTTTTTGAATTCCTTGTTATTTCCATTTCGTGATTACAGTTCTCGTCGAATTTGCAAGCCTAGTGCGGATTATCTACCTCTGTTGCTGCAGTGACTAGGTTTCAGTTTGATTGTATTGCACAAGTACATTACTTGGTTCTTTCGTAATTCCGTCGTATCTAGGTAGTTAGGGTTATATCTGTTAGGATATTGAAGGTTTTTGTGAATGTTGCCTTAGAAAAGCATTAATTTGTTCTCCTTTTTTAGAAGTCGGCTTTATTTGAATTTAATTTGGAGTCAAATCTCAATAAAAATTAAATGCTGCTTTCTACATGCTTGTTTGACCTTAGAACGTAAAGTTGCTTACTTTTTTATTTTTGGTGGGAAAGAAATTTCATTAGGCGCAAGGCCAACAAACAACAAAATCCAACAGGAGACACAACAAAAAGGACAAACAGCTGAAAGGGGCAACAAGAAAACAAAACCAAACTAACAACTAAAACTACCAAAGAAAACTAAAACACACTTAGACTAAGAAATCTCCAGAATCACGTAAGATGCTTTGGACCCAACCAGGTAAAGTTGATCATTGGAGATAAGAGATTACGGATTGATCAAATAGCAAATGCCAAACAACTCAAGTATAACATAATTAGTGCGTGTCTTGCATGCAATTCGTACTCAAGTTACTGAGTAATGATTGCAAAATGTTTAGTTTCAACATGGATTCTTGAAGTCTCAAACCTAATGTCATCTATACAGTTTTCTCATAGGATTCCCGGTGCAACGTTTTTTGGTTGATGTTTCTATTAATTTATTTTTCCATCTTTCTTTGAACACCAGACTTTTCCCCTCCATCTAGTTATTGATAATTTGATTTTCAATTGTTTTCTCTGTAGAAAACTATTGTTTGCCCGGTGGCTTTTCAACATTCAATATGTAACTGTTCTAAACTTCATGTTTCATCATCTACTTGGGAGACTTTCTATGCAGTATGACAAGCTTTTTTTTTTCCAGAAATGATCAGGAAGAAAAATAGTTACAAGGCAGCAAGGCAAAATAAGGTGACAGGGAACCACTTTGTTTCCTAGTGGCTGCCTTTGATGTACCAATCAGTGAGATCCTTAGCGGGAGTCAAAACCTGGGTATGTTGGGACAGTCTGAGAATTCATCTAAGTGGGTGATCATAGTGACAGGATCAGCCTCTTTGTCGGACAAAGGTAATGATCGGGGATGCACTCTCACTGATGGAAACCAAGACTGCCGGCAGCCGATTTCAATCGTTAAGATTTGTTTTGCAAAGTATATTTTATATGAGATATAA